AACTTCAAAATCGTTAAAATTCATGGCTCCCGCTGCATTGCACGGGTACACAACTAGTATATATATAAAGCCAAAAATCATGGATATTATATGATGTGCCATGCCACATGGCAAAAGGGGTTACACACACACAACAGTACCAATGTTCCCCGTTCACGTAGCAACCCTGTCTCAAACTCCAAAAAGTTTTCTCCTTCATTTCTTTTCATTTATTTTGAAAGGAAATTACTCCTTTATTTATGTTCATACTTAAAGTTTGGCATTTTCATCTATGTCACGTCCGTTTCTAATATTTATTTGAAAATACAAAATATTTCGAAACAATTAAAAGATTGAAGAAAATTTGGACAAGATTCAAGAGAAGACAAGAAAAGAAAACGTTAATCATATTCTAGAAGGCTCCAAAGAGTAGTATAAATAGGTGTAATCTTTCATTTGTAAATCACACTCCACAATCCTCTCAATTGCAGACCAGGTGAGTAATAGAAGCATTGAATTCTCTCAATATTCTTAGCGTTCTTGTTTGCTCATCTTTATTCGGTATTCAAGTAGCGTGGCTGGCATAGTTCGAGAATTAAGGTCGTACACAAAGCTTGTGAAGACAACTCTATGACAGTTCAGTTCCCCTCAGTGTTTATCTAATTTCTATCAGAAAACAAATATTTGAGTTCTTTTTATAGTACTCTCTTTCAAGTTTCTTTGGTTAATTACAATTGAATTGTTAGCAATTTATTTAAACGTTGTTAGTTTTTGTGCGAATAAATTCAAATTGTTCAGGTTGGATAATCATATTGTTAATTTGTCCAGATTTAAATTGTTAAATGTTTATATTTAGACTCAAATTGTTATTTGTTTGGGTTTAAAATTTAAACGTACTTAACATTATATGTATATTTGTTATCTCATTTTCCAGTGTAATTAAAAGTTCTGAGTGTAACAAGAACTCCCAAAATATTAAAGCGTCCCGGTGCATTTTTGGGTATGAGATGAAAAAAATTAATTACTTTCTCTATTATTAAAACTAACACTATAATTTAATTAATTAAAAAAATAATTATTATATAGTTATAAAGCCATATGTTTTTTCATTGTGAAATATTTAGTTCGGAACGAATGAAAGTAGCATATAGTTATAAAATTATAATTATAGTAATGTTAGTTATTATTATTACCAACGTTCTTATTTAAGTATAAAAAATATTATTACTAATGATACTGTTAGTATATACTGTATTTATAATTGATGTGTCTTGATAAAGAAGTAGTAGAAATGATCGTTTGCAATAGAATAATAACAAACCACAGTTTGAAATATTATTATTAATGATACTGTTAGTATATACTGTATTTATAATTGTTGATATGGAGTACTCGGTCTTGTTTGAATGGAACAATTCTCATATTAATGTCTTCTATAAACCTAAACGTTTACTTTATCAAACGGGCTATGAATTAGACGACGGTAAGTAAATGAGCCATTTGTACTTAAAGTAGTATGATGACTGATTCAATGTTGATTTTTGTTAAGAACTAAAAAAACTCTACATAACTCTTGTTTGAAGAAGGGAAAATTGCATCAAAATGAAATCAACTTTCATCAAATTTCTATTTTAGGGAACTAACTTTCAAAATCGTCATTTTAGAGAACCAACTTGCACCTGATTACTATTTTGGGGAACTAACTTTCAAAATTGTCATTTTGGGGAACCAACTTGCACCTGATTCCTATTTTGGAAAACCAACTTGCAAAATAATTATAGAAAAATAACTAAAATTCGTTTTTTTCTAAAAATTAATGCAATAGAATCTATTTTTCATTTCAAATCTCGTTTTTTAATTCAGATATCAAATTGAACATTTAAAAAAATCCAAATTACCACAATAAAAATTGATTTTTAACAAATGCAAAAAAAAAATCAATTTAATAGAAAAAAATTAATTGATGCAATAAAAAATAAATATTAAATATCACATTCAAGATTTTTATATCTAACCAATTGCATCAATTAATTTTTTTTTCTATTAAATTGATTTTTTTTGCATTAATAAAAAACAATTTTTATTGTGATAATTTGGATTTATTTTAAAAAATGTTCAATTTGATATATAAATTAAAAAAAACGAGATTTGAAATGAAAAATAGATTTTATTGCATTAATTTTTGGAAAAAAACGAATTTTAGTTATTTTTCTATAATTATTTTGCAAGATGGTTCCCCAAAATAGGAATCAGATGCAAGTTGGTTCCCCATAATTACGATTTTGAAAGTTGGTTCCCCAAAATAGGAATCAGGTGCAAGTTGGTTCCCCAAAATGACGATTTTGAAAGTTGGTTCGCCAAAATAGGAATCAGGTGCAAGTTGGTTCCCCAAAATGACGATTTTGAAAGTTGGTTCCCCAAAATATGAATTATGTGAAAGTTAGTTTCATTTTGATGCAATTTTCTCTTTGAAGAATGTTACATTTAAATTGACACGTAGTTTAATAAAAAAAATTTGAATTTAAATATAAGGGACGTTATGAATTGTGATAAAGATTATAAATTCGTTAAGAATGTAGATCTTCAAATATTAATAAAGAAATTCGAAAAATATCTGAATTTGAGTCACGTACTCATGTGTCAAAATTATGATCTTAAGTTGGTTGCACAATAAAATGAGCTTTATTAAATGTCTATCAAGTAAGCGTTTTCTAGCAAAAATTATTACCTTTACTTGCCTTATCAGGTGACGTTATTGACCATCACAGTGGATTGTTGGTAAGTATCTTTTATTCGATAAAAATTTTCTCCATTACTTATTGTATAAGATTCTCCGTCCATATTATGTCTCTAATAAGATAAGATTCTTGATCTTTATTATTTTCAACTCATAAACTAAGTGACACCCAATAAATCGTTACTTTGTAAACATCCATAAAAATAAGAGAAGTATGTTTTATATTATAGTTTTTAATATTTAAACATTGAATTATATTTATGATACAAGAGGGTTACATTGAGTATAGAAACACAAATTAAGAGGCCGTTTACCTAAATACTTATCCGGTAAACACTTATCGATAAAATTCAACATTATAGTTTACTTACTGGATAAGATTTTATCCACTAAAACGCATTGTATGCAACAATTTATCCACTAAAACGCATTGTATGCAACAATTTATCCCCTAAGCGCTAATCATGGTAAGAGTTCTCGTCCTCACTTACCGGGTAAGACTCTCGATTCTTGCCTTCGCTCTTACTAGATAAGATTTTTAGTCCTTGTCATATTCATCCGATAAAGTAAAATGACTTGGTAAACGCTTACCAGGTAAGCTTTTGGTAAACGGCACCTTCGTTTTAAAATAGGGATGAGGTAAATGTATCTTTGTATGTTGTTAAGTGCAGGGTATTGTTACATGTACGGCGTGGGCTAATTGCATCATTCTATATGTTAAATGCACGCTACTTATATATTTTATTCTTCACTCTTACACATATAAATATTAAGACCTATCTTTTACATTCAAAATATTTGAATTGACTTTATCTTAACATAAAAAAGGGAGTGTAAATAGTATTGTCGATACCCAATTTTATTTAAATCAGTTAATCAAAATCATGTTAAATCATACATTGAAAATGTAAAAAAAAAAAAAAGCATTGATGTTAATTTTGATACAAAAGAAGTTACATATTTTGAAAATAAAAGTGAGTACAAGAAATTATTAAAAAGGGAGAGTATTCAACATTCTTTCCACAGTGTTAATATATCTTTAATCTTGTGTGGGTCCCTCTTTGTCTGCATCCTCACTTGCCTCCCTCTTTATTACCATCTTCTTCCTCCAGCATCCATTTCACTCCGTCCCTTTCTTCCACTTTTAGCAGCCATGGACAAAGAAAACTTGTTCAATGCTCCCTATTTCACCTCTGAAAGCGACGATGAAGATGCCGTTATCACCGCCTTAACTCGCCGCTTCTCCCGATCTGCTTCAATTCAACAACCTCTCTACATTCTCAAGGTTTGTTTCTAATCATCAACAAGTTTTTGGAGTTTCTTGTTTTTTCTGATTTTGGTGGAATTTTAGGAAAAACGGGTTTTCTCTGCTTCTCCGGAATCAACTCTTGGCTGGCCGCTTTCTACCCCTTCTCGGCCACCGTTTCTCAAAGCTGACGAAGATGCTTGGAATCTGATCTATGCTGCGGCGGGACAAGTCGCCAGGATGAAGATGAGGATGAGCATCGCCACCGCCACCGCCGGCGTTGTTGCTCACAAGAACAACAGAGGTCTACCCGGAGCTTCTCGTGCTTTTGCTCATCCTCACTGTTCTTCATGGGGGACGAGTGATGGAGATGAGTTTTTCCGGCAGCGACAATTTTGTCGGAAGAGAGGTGGTAACGAAAGCTGTGGGGACAGGTCACCAAGTTTCCCTCAGTCTGCATGGCCTCCACCCCAACAACACCGACCAAATCAACCCAAACCCTGCAATGTGCCGGTCATGAAACCCGTCGTTGTCGGTGGATCTGGTGGCGGTTGTGACGGTGGTGGTGGTGGGAAGAGGGAATGTGCCGGCACTGGTGTCTTCTTGCCCCGAAGATACTGTAACAAGCCACCTGAATCTCGAAAAAGACTAGGTATATTTGTCTTATTCATCTCCCCAAATTTCGACTCCTCGTCAGAAATTGCAGAGTCAAAGCGATGATATTAATTTCAAAATCTGTCCATTAAACCAACCCCTTTTTTTTCTCTTTCTAGATCTTTGTTTTTATTCTGTTTGGAATCATTTATTCTAAATAACCCATCTTAATTTCATACAGCATGTTCGCCTGCTAATCTGCCAGCTAGAATGATTCAGTCTTCTTCCATTACCCCACCTGATGAAATCGAAGCTCGCATCAATGGCGGTTTCATCCCACAGTATGGTAATGTTATTATATTCTATGGGCATTATAAGAAACGAGTTAGATCCTTGGTTAAATCCATGATTAATTTGCAGAAATGGCAAGGGGTGGGCAGCAGCAGCGGCGGAGCAACCACCACATCCAGGGCGGCGTCAAGGAACCAGTGGCGAACAACCCAGAAATGCTCCTCCCTCAAGAATGGACCTACTGAAAACGGAAAAGAGTAGTAGTAGATAGAAGAGTGAATATATGAGTAGAAGGTAGAGAATGATTTTGTTTGATGTTGATGATGATCCAAGTACAAAGATGAAAATAAAAGGGAAGATTTTTAGTACTTTTTTCAAGAGAAATCGAAAATTCCTTTTGTTTCGAGGATACAATTGGATGGAGCTTTAATGACTTGTATTCCATGCATAAGAAGGTTGTACATTGAGGGTTGGTTATTCTTAAAGAATAGGAATAGAAAGAGAGGTAAATAAATGTAAGGATCTTGGTTTGGTTTGGTTTGGTTTCATTCTATTTCTATTTAAGCTTTTTTTTTTTTATTGGGTAATGGTTTGTGATAAACGAATCATGACTTGTACAAAAGAAGTTCGTAGTGTGCTTAAGGAGTTGTACGTTGTTGTGAAAAAGGAAATAAATACGACAACGTTTTCATTTCTTAACGTTATATTTAATAAATAAATGTAATAGTTTAAAGATATGGATTTTTTTAGTATTTGATGAAAATCGGTTGATGGGATATATAAATATTTCGACAACGAAATTGAAAAAATCCATAAAGGATGGATGAAAGTACAAATATTTGGAAGAAAACATTGAAAAATCCGTTTTTGGAGCAATAAATTAATTTGTAGTAAAACAAAAATAAGTTGGGCGAGTCAACTATTTATAATTATGACCAATAGAATACTAAAAATTAAGAAGATTTTTTTAAATAAATATTAAAATATCTTTATGTATGGTTGAATACATCCTTCTCAATTTCCTGCTCACACATATTAACATTAAAATTAAATTTTACAATTTTAATAAATGATTTAACTTGATTTCATATAAAATTATGTAAGTAATTTACTTAAGAGTAAACTCTAGTTTTGGTCGCCTTGATTTATTAAAATCTTTGAGGTGGCGTTTGGTACGTAGAAAATGATTTGATATGACTGGACATGGACATGACAAGCGGGTAGGACTGGAGAAAACAAGTGTTTGGCTAATATATATATACAACTAGGACTGTACATGGTAGAATTAGACAAATTGCATCGGAAAATTATTTGATGATTTTATATATAATGTAATAGATGTAATTAACACCGCTAAAGTAAATAATTTAATTTATAAACATTTTTACATAATTTTTATATTGGCGAAGGAACGGTGGAGCTTCATGCAACAACAATGGTTGTGGAGGTAGAGAGATATTGGTGGTTGGTGGACAATGATGGCTGTGAAGGATGTGAAGACGGTGGATATTGGTGGTGGTTCACAGTGTTGGAGGAGGTAGTGGGGTGGTGGACAGTGGTGGTGGTTAGGGAAGAGGTGGAGGTGGTGTTAGCCATGGTGCAGGTGGAGGTGGTGATGGCCAAGGGTATAAATGGGGGTGGTGATGAACGGTGTTGGTCGATGGCATACAGTGGTGGAGGAAGTTGTTTAAGTAGAGAAAAAGATGGAGGTGGCAACAATGGTAGTGGTAATGGGGATGAAGAGTGGTGGTCGGTGGCCAACGGTGGTTGTGGAAGTGGTCGTTAGTCGTTGTGGATGTTGTTCTAATAGAAGAGGAGGCAAAGGTGGCTACTGGTGGTTGCAGCAGTCGCAACTAATAGCGTTGACCACAAAAACTTTTCTTCTACCATCTTATTTATGTTAATTAATACATCATATTATTAGATATTCGTTTCAATTATATTTTAAAATATTAACTTTTTAATATATATTTTTTTTATAATTTTATATTTTTATCAACTAATTTTACCAAATATTATTTATTTATCAGACAGCATATCAGCTACCGGTTAAGTTATTATTTAGTTTAACAAAGCAAAGCTTAAACCAGTAGAACCAACATTAGAAAAAGAGAAAGAAAGAAGGTACAGGATTGGTTGCGGCGGAGGGAGTGATGTGGTGGGTAATGGAACGTATGGGAGTGGGTGGGTACGCCGTACGACGTTGTCCGATCACCACAATCTTAACGTTACATGTATTTAACATTTTTTATTATATTATTTTCATCAACAAATTTAATATAACATTCTTGCTACATGTAAAAAATATAAAATATTAATATTAGGGATCGTGGGTAATTTTCCTCACTGAATAAATGACAAGGGCCAAAAATCTTACATGGTAAGAACGATGATAAGGATGGAGAGTCTTATCTGGTAAGTGAGAGTGACGACTCTTACCCGGGTAAATGATTACCAGGTAAATTGTTGTATAGAATACGTTTTGATGTACTACAATCTTACCCAATAAAATAAATTATAGTGTTGCCTCCTAACGTTAAGCACTTATCAGGTAAGCATTTAGGTAAACGGCCCCTTAATGTTAATATATGTAAGAAATAAATTTATACTTAGAGGTGCATTTGACCCACACTTATTAAATTAATATGTGGGGAAAAAAATAACTCATTTTTTAAAATTATCATCGTATTCCAATTTTACTAAAGGGGGTCGTTGTTCATACTACCTCCTCACTCATATACCATCTATTCATCACTCACCTACCTTGTATGGTAGAGATTATGAATAGAATTCACCTTTTAGTAATTTTACTTTTGTTATAAATATTTTTTTTGAAAGATAAAACAATAATATTAAAAGAAAAGACGAATGTACAAGAAAACAAAAACTACAAGTTCTACAAGAAACAGAAAACAAGCCAACATCCGACAAAAGGAAAGCTAAAACACAAAAAATAAGGCCGCAACAAGACTAAAGCAGACACAACGAAAACAAAGCACGACCAATCGGGCAACAACAAAACCATCTAAAGCTAACGACCACACTCACCAACAATGACCAACCTATTGATGGTCATCAAAATTCAAAACTTTACCCGCTGCCAGGGGTGGATCTAGCGTTTAAGCACTTAGGGGAAAGACCCCCAGTCAAAAACAAAAAACATTTGTTGACCAGCTTAAATTTTCTATTTTCACCATCATATTACATGGTTTTTCCACAGTCCCATATGACAATATGCTTCCCTCCCCTAGGGGTGAGCAACGGGTTGAATCGGTTTGGGTCGGACCATAAAATGGCTAAACCGATCGGCATCGGGTTTCAATACCACAACCCGTAATATGCAGTTCGGGTTTGAGGGAACATCGAGTTCGAGTCAGTTTGGGTTCGGGGGAACATCAGGCGGGTACAATCTGGTTTTTGTGTTACAAAAAAATCCAATGATATAACACATATTCGTAAACATCTTAATATACATAAACTACAAAACAGACACAAGTTCACATTTCCAAATCTTGCACCAAGAAACAGAAAGCATACCATAAATGAAGCATCGAGCCTACGAATGGAAGCCATGAAAGAGAGATCATCTGATCACCTGCATTTGAAACAGAAGTTGTAACACAAGTATACAACATTTGTTATTTGATCATCTGCTGCTGACTGTTGTATTGTATTTCTACGAACAGAAGCCATGTGTCATATTGACCTTACACTACTACCACAACAATATCATATGGTTACTTGAAACAACATCTTGATCTTACACTACTAACAGATGCAGGGCCGGCCCTGGCCATGTGCAGCCCGTGTGGCGGCACAGGACATCAAAGCCTAAAGAGGCATCAAGTTGTCATATATTACTAGTTTTGGGTTTAATAATTTAGGAATTAGACAATAGAGCTTTAACTATAAAAACAGGTCCAACGCCTATTAGTGATGAATACTGAATGCACATTGTGAACCGGTTAACGCCATCATTCCAACAACTCAATCTAATTTCTATTATTCTTTAAAGTTCGACTATTTCGATTTTTAAGGCATGGAGTTCTCTTTCTACCCGATTTACGGTCATGAAATTAGCTTCAAGAAATCAAAGATGGAAATCTCGAATGACTGATTTATACTGTTGATTGAACTTACTGAGTTGTTGTGTGAGTTACATTATGATTTATGAATCTTTAAATCTTTTTGCAAAAAAAAAATCTAAATTTCTAACTGATTATTATAAAGTTAGGTTGTGTGGGTTATTGACCTACTAGGCTAACGCTAAGGGGTTTTTGTCATTTTGATAATGAGTGTTCCTCTTGCATATTGAAATATCTGAGAATTGAAATTTTCAATGCACATAAACATATCATTGTGTCAACATAGTTAGAGCACACTGTACAACATTAACAACATATTGTGATATTGTCTTAATTATTGGGCATTTGTTCTTTGCATTGCCCAGTAACATAGATTATGAATTTTACAATTTATTATTGTTCTTTTGATTTTTGTTTACTTTGAGGTTTGACATTACCACATTAGATTTAGGGGTTGTTTAATTGGTTTTTTTATTAAGTTCTATATGAATAAAGTTGAATGTATGAATTAATCTATTTGTATAAGTTGGAAAGTTTTTGTTTGGGATAGTTTTTTCACAGATGTAAAAAGCGTTTCTTTAGTTGGAAGAGACATGTTTGAAAACAAAAAACTTAGCTTTCTATATAAAGCTCCCCCTACAGCTTACTGGATAAGTCACTTTTTATATCCTTAATCCACTACGAAACAATCATGCATAGTTGAGTGAATAAGCTGTTAGTTCCATCAAGCTTATTAAGCTGCTAACAGATAGACCCTTAGTCTTTAGTTGTTAGACCTATAACTTTTAAGTTTTACTTTTTGCTTATTATGACAGTAATTTAGATGTAATTTACTATTTTAGTTAAAAACTAATTATTGTTTTCCTTGTCTTTTAAGTCCTATATATTGAAATAAAGTTTCTATTTAACTAATTTCAATTTGGAAAAGAGAAAACTAGAAAAGAAGGAAGCACAATCTCAATCCAAGATTTATCATTCTATATTTTCTATTCGGGGTTTTGGTTTTTATGTCCCTCAACCCTTGTATTTTTGTTTATAATAATTAATAAAAATCAATATGGGGATGAGACACTTAGCTTGAATATGTTCTAAACTCTTTAAAAAATCGTATATTTCGTTGTTTCATTGGCTTAAAGAAATAGGCTAAGGGGCATTTTTTATTATTTTCGCACATGATATCATAAATCTTAGGACCGGCCCTGAACAGATGCTGTTTAAGTTTGAAACAGAAGTTGTCTATAATATAAGTATACAACAAGCAACAGTTGTTGTTTGATCATC